CACACACACACACACACACTACCGGGTCTGGGTGCTGAAACTTTCCGAAATCACAAAAGAGTTCCCTTACCGGGTCTGTATACTTCGTGACTTTGTTCCCGGTTACCGGGTCTGTATACACTTCGATTTTTAAAGTACATTTTGAGTACTTTTGAAGCTTAATGAAAGAGTAAGTGCCGGCATTTCTGATAATAATTTACGGAACAAACACCCAGGCGGGCACAGCCGATCAACCAAGAGTTAAAAGTTGAGACCAAAGAATTGCCCGTCGCGTCAAAGATCAGCCACTCTCGTGAATGTGATCATAAGCGTTGTTAAACTCCATGAAACGGTACAATGATCCCCAGGCGGGATCACACCGAGGTGTGAACTGACCGATGCGTTTCTTTTCCCCAAACATCGCACTCGCATCTGAGCTCGCCACCTGAACTTACTTCACTCGCTGGGTGGGTAGGGCCTACAAGTTCGCTCCAGGCAGGATCACATCGAACTGTGAACTCTTCCCTGTCCATTGACGTTGAAGGCAGTTTTTCTCTATTCCCGACTTTGCGAGACAGCCTGAATTTTAATTGGTGTGGTCACAGCGTAATGGTACGTAATGACAAAGGCGGGGGGACTCAATCAGAGATGGAAGGCTAAAATTTTTGGACAAGTAAAGGGGAGGGGCAACTGGATAAACGTAGATAAAGATCTCGAGAAGATATGCTAATGAGTGTACGGTATAATATTATGGCATGCCCCATGCCACCATGCTACTGTGATTGGTCATCAAGGTTGACAACTCTTTGCTCGCCATATGTCATAAACCCACCCAGGGGTCACGTCAGTACATGGGTCACTGTAGATTCTTCCTTGGCTTCGTCGGCTAAGATCCCGTATTTCCCTTGCTCCCGGGCACTGGGATCTTAGGCGGAGAAGACTAGTAGAGAATTTTTGGTTACACTTTACTAGACTTTAGGAAATTACATGTGGGCATATTTTGGTTAGCCGTGGGCGCGTGGACTACACAGTGTGACCAAAATCTGTCTTACCACTATTATAATCAATAGCAACTGAAACTGAGTTTTCAATGTATTTCAATCGAAAAAAATTTAGGCGACCTAAATTTTATTTTAACTTTTGGCGGGGTTGGTGCTTAAGGCTACCTTGATTCCTTGAGGATTTGTTAATGAAGAATTCAATGCACATTTCCATTTTGTTTTTTTTGCTGGCCATTTTCATCAATTTTATATTTTCTTAAGAGGAACTTTGTCTCTACATTTTAAATTTGGATACTTTTCCTACTTTCCCACCTCTAGGACTGACTTACATTTGATCATACTGTCTTGCTAAAACAAGTTCTATTCATAATATCACTTACTAGTTGCGTCTGTTTGTTTGCTGGTTTTTTGTTGGTTTTTTTCGATTTCACGGTCCATTTCCACCTACGTTCAGTGCGTATATTCAAATGCTTTGTATACTGTTAACATTATTAGTAATAAATGGCCTAATTTGTTAAATATACTAGATATGTTATTCAATATGATGTTTTGCATTTGCACTGAAGTGTTTTAGTTTTAGCGTATTAGCAGAAAGTACTCAAAAGTATTCATAAGTGCTTTTTAAAAAAGTACTTGTACTCAATTACATTTTACAGGAAAGTACTTTTAGTGTACTTAAGTAAATATTTTAGATTGTACTTAAATTTATACTTAAGTACCTTTTTTAAAAGTACTTTAACAGCTCTGCTTAAAAATAACAACTTTAACATATATTCAGAACAACATTTTGGTTGATAACAGCTGATAAAATATCATATTGGGAACAATATTTTGGTTGCGGTTGATAACAGTATTGCCTCTGTTCACGGGTGGATGGCGGGTGTTCTGGTGTTGCTGGTTCCTTCACTCGCATCAAACATGATCCGTCGATCTTAACTCTTCCCCTTTTCTGGCCCGCCTTAGTAACATTTTTTTAAATCTTTGGCATTCATAATGGCCTAATTGTGTTGCAAGTACAATGGAAGATCCTGCTAAAACTTAACAACGGTTATAAAATAAGTGCTGTCATTAGATATATAAAGTAGAAGACATCTCAACGGTAGGTCTATCCCCACTAGCATTTTGAGTACGGGGCCTTTCTAAACAATTCGTTTTCGGTGAAAGATATCGGAACCACTTGCATAATTATGACGAGTGTCAAAGCAACATGAAGCCTCCACTAATTTGGTAGCAGGCATAATGTATTATTGCATTCATGTCATTGTGTGAGAGGGAGAGAGAGAGAGAGAGAGAGAAGAGAGAGAGAGAGAGAGAGAGAGAGAGAGAGAGAGAGAGAGAGAGAGAGACTTGAGAAGTTTATTTTTGCTAAAGTGAACCTTCAGTTGACAATGGTGCACAAAACAGAGCAGGACAGAAACAAAATACTTAACCATCTTCCAAAAAAACCCCATTACAGTAAAGCGGAAAACCACAGAGGGTAGCTTTGTGCAAGAGCCACTTGCAACAAGCTCTTTCTCAATATAGCTTACCACATAGATGTAAGTCACATTAAACTCAAATTCCACTTGAGGGACAGTAGAAGAACACTTCAAGGGGTTGTCTGGACTGGCATCAAAAAGGGAACCAGTGATATCTGTGCCTGCAAGAGAAACAGTAAGGCAGGTAAGAGGTTTCGCTTTATGCAGTTATCACACAATGTAGCAACAATTTTCATCTGCCAGGAAATATATCATAGATATTCTTTAACAATTCAGGAACTCATCATATGAGTAAGCATGCAATTTGGTTTAAAAAGAAAATTATGGCTGCATTTTCAACAACAAAATTTGTCTCATGTTTAGCCTGGTTATAGTGAGATGTATGGGTAATTACATAGATAAGTAGATATGTATATTAAGTAAGGTACAACCGAAGGCCCAAGCTGAATAGTGGAATAATATCTCTGGAGCTCAAAACACTTTGCTTATATTGGTTACACTACATCACTCAATGACTTGAATTAGTGAATAAGAAAAGTGAATAAAGAGTAACTTTAGAAGCTAGAAAGATCTGACAGACAAACTTCTATTAACAGTCTATGACTATGAGGGTCAATGTGAAGTCTCACCTTTTCTACATTCCTCATGTTCAAACAATTGACTTTCAATTATAATCTAATACAGTATTATTCCGTTGTAAATAACAATAATAATTCACTTATTACAAGTCTAACCATTTTCTACATTTCTCATGTTGCAAACTTTAAACTATATTCTAACACTATAATGTGCGATCATAAATGATAATTATAATTAACACAACAGCAGTCTCACCTTTTCTACGCTCTTCACGTTTCAAAGCAACAGTATTCTCATCCTCCTCACAGCTAGCATGACTTGCTTTGCAGCTCTTGTTACTCTTGTTGCTCTTGTTGCTCTTGCTGCCAGCCCTTTTACTGCTTCGTCCACCACTTACATTTTCATCCAACTGAAAATGAAGATACACATTCGGTGGGATAATAAATAATTCTTACAGATAGCAATTGTAAAGCACAAATTCCCACTCAACAGAAAACTCTATGTCCTTTACAGCCTATATTTTCATCCCAGCAGATCTAATTGAGTTCTGAAACAATCTCAACTTTCTGGGGAGAATACAGTACAACCTGCCCCTTTACAGGTGCTAAAACGCTAACATCCTGACAAGATCTTTTTCTGCCTATGGCCAAGTGCCCATTCACTCCTGGTTGAAGTGAGGAAAATTTATGTGAAGTGTCTTTCCCAAGGATACAACATTGGACCTGAGGCTTAAACCCCTGAACACACAAACTCACGATTATGAGTCCGGTAGCCTAACCACTAAACTACCGACTCATCATGGCTCAAGCTACAACATGGAGTTTCCGTCGATCTGTTTGTTCCTGAGCCTTGTTGAAGAACACTTGGAGTTGTTCAAAGAAGGAAAACCAAAGCATAAGTAAAATAAACAATTAAGACCAAATACATCTACTCCCCCCCCCCTCAAATTTGCACGAAAACTTAAATATAAGAGTCAACATTTTCTTGCAAGCCAGACTGGTTCTGGGGGCTAGATGTTGACCTTTGCCATTGATAGATGACTCAAAGCTTTTAAAATAAGAGATCAGTAACCAGGTAACAGAAGGTCTCCAAGTATAAACATTTCCTCCTACAGAAAAGATGCAGATCCTGATCAAACATAGCATAGGCGCTAGCTCAATCTTTTTCCAGGTGTTTTATATTCCACTTTCAACCTGGTAGTAAAAACTAATTCTTTCTACCAAGCAAAATCCTTTAAATGTATATCTTCTGGTAACAATCTAAAGGCTGCAACTAATTCCACCTTCATTACATCCTACCCGGAATTAGTCAATTTCCAGGATTTAAACAGCTTGGTGGTCACTGTTCTACCTACCTCTTGGTCATCTCTGGAACACTGGAAGACATCTTGCCCACGGCCACAGGTACTTTCGCCTCCATATGTGCACTGACAGTAATAAGGAGCAGGGCTCCCATTTACGGTAGTAGAACTTCCACAAAAGCCAGAGAAAAGAGACTCATTGGCTGGTACTCTGCGGAAAAGAAAACATAATATACAGACTTTATCTCCGGCAAGCTGCTCACAGCGGCTCGCGGTTGGTACATCTTTGCCGGTGAGCTGCTGACAGTGGCTCGGGCACATTCCTTTATGATGATGTCAACATCAAATTTCTTTCCGAAAACAGGTCTATTTATAGGGATTTCATTGATTAGATGAAAATAGATCAAAATAGGCTCACTTGTTTTGATTAAATGACCAATTTAGTGACGTTTTTGTCCTTTTTAGATTTAGTACCAAAAAAGGGCCCAGGCATAGTGGGTTTATCCCCCCTCTGAGATAGAGAGTTAACGCAAGTAACCTGAAAAAAAAAGTTGTACATGAGTATCATGCTTGTGCATAAGTGCACTTCATCAACTGAGAATAGATTTTTAAAAATACATGATTTGAGAAAGCGATACGTTCAAAGACAAGGCAAAAATGATCCGGTCCTGCCATTTCAAGCACAGAAATTAAGTGATAAGGAATGTTACCTCCAAGAAAGGCTGAATTCATTTGGTGTCTTTCCAGTTTCATTTGACAAAATTCCATCACTGCGTACAAGGTCATTAGAGGCATCATCATCAAAGTTTCCACACAACCCTGTGAAAAGATCATGAAACAAAGAATTTTTAAAAATAAACAAAACTAAAAAACCCCTAAAAAACCTGATAACTGATCAAGACTTTGAAGAAGGTCTTATCTGCTCAAACACAGATCAGATTCTTCAAAATGTGAGTCATGACCCTTTTGTCAGTCACAGAACCTTAAACAATTTGATAAAAAGTCCTAGTACCCATGAATTTTTACATAAAAGCATAGCTGGAGTATGGAAAAAAGTTATCTTGCTTTTGAGAAACTAACTATATTCTATCATTAATGTCCATGAAACATCTGCGATGGGGCGAGGTACCTTTCACTGCATTATGTTATCGCATAAAACAAAAAGGGTCACGACCGAAGAAGTTAAATGGACCTGAAAACTGATCACATCAAATGAGTTTATAAAATTTATGCCATATTGCCTGAGATGGCCCAGTCTATAAAAATCAAGTGTAACATTCTTTCAAAAAAATATGACATACAGAATGTGTAATATTTTGTTAATAGTTACGGCGAGGACAACAGCACTGGTAAAAAAATGATAATCTGTTGTATTGATACCGTTACCATTTAAATTTGTGGTTTCTTCGAGAGATACAATGATTTTTGTCAATAAAATTATGAAAATCTAACACGCACTTCGCTGTAAAGAATTTTGGTGGGGGCTAGAAAACGTGATGCTGGCGCTCTCTATGTTGGGAGAGAGGGGAAATGAATAGGCTCATGTCTCCCCCATCATCATCATCAACAAGAGTCAGATCTAAAGCAGACATCGGCAATCATAGTTCCCCACTCTTTTTTAATTTTTCCATCAAAATGTTCTCAAATTTCCTATACTGTCCTGGTTTTTCCCCGCCACCCATTTGTTCAAGTTGTCTAAATGAATAGTATTTGGTCAACCTCTGCCTCTTCTCATGCCTTACACTTTTTCAGGGAGAGCAAGGTGTTCACGGCCTTTATACTCGTAATCTTATGATTCTACCTATTATAGAGAAAGACAAACACTCTTCTCAAGCAGATTCTTTTCACATTTAAAGTGCATACCTCGAATTTGTCCAAAGCTGGAACCAGCAGCTTTCACCCAGACATTAATGAAGTTCCTCTTTCTCTTCCCTGAGACTGTGACAAATACAGTGTCTCCATTGGGCAAGTAAACCTGAAGAGGTGCAGTCAAGCAATGAAAAAGATTAAAGCTTATAACTACAAGGAAATTGTGAACTTTATCAAATTTGCGATTTGAAATAAGTAGCAGAGTTCAAGTAGTTGAGAGGTCATTTCAAAATAAGTTTATAAGACAAGGTTTCTGTGGCAGTATTTTTTCGGCATTAATACGAGCTGTGACTTCACACTTTATGTGCAGTTATTGTTGATTTCCCGTTATCAACAAAGGACATCCAAGAATGTTAAAGTTTGAATACTTCTGAGACTGACATACTGACATTAGTTGAATTCGAGTTTCACTTTTGATAAAGATAAAAAACACGTTACCACTTAAACTTGAAGTCTACAACCAGAGTCAGACAGATGAAACACATTTGAGAAGAAAAAAAAATGACCATAACAAAGGTTTGTATTGATAATGACTGATTAATTATCTGATGTTCAGTTTTGGAAATAAAACAATAGTTACACGCACAGAAGATTCTTGGTTCTTGAACTTAATTACACTTACGGAATATTCTCTGTCCTTAATTTGGTAAACTCTGAATCCTTTTTCCAAAAACCCATGTCTGTAGAGCTTGACAGTGAACGGCATTGGGTCCTCACTGTCAGGGTCAATCGAACATTTGCTGAGCACCACAACATCATCATCAACTCGAACAGCGACAGCACAGTTGCAGGAAGCCTTGCGATTGCATGATCGGTAGAAGGTGTGGACCTGAATCAAATACAGACATACAGTAGCGTCCGCTTAAACATATCTGCAGGAAAGCCAAATTTTCTTTGGTTTGACCCGGTATGTGTCTTAGAGAGACTGCTCAAGTAGAAGAAAAAGAATGTCTATGTGAGTGCGTGCGTGTGTATGTATGCTTGTGTGTGAAAAGAGATAGAGAGAGAGAGAGAGAAAGAGATAGAGAGAGAGAGAGAAAGAGAGAGAGAGAGAGAGAGAGAGAGAGAGAGAGAGAGAGAGAGAGAGAGAATGAGAGAGAGAGAAAACGAGAGGGAGAGAGAGAAAGAGAGAGGAGAATAATGATATGAATATTTTTACACTACAACATTTTTGAGTCCCTTGAAGGCATATCTTTCTTAGCTTCAGTGTGTTGAGCAGCTCATTATACCATGACACAGTGCGTGTGGGCATATATCTGTGAGTGTGTATGTGTGTGTGTGTGTGTTTTCTCAAATTAACAAAATGTGGATATGATGCTTTTCGTGATGAAATCCTTCATAACATGTATGATTACACGCCCCCCCCCCCCCCCCCCCCTGTGACTCAATACGGGTGGGATCATCATCAAGCTCAACACAAATTGGGAAGAGCCTATAGTCTGACTAAGCTGTAAAGAAGGATAATAATACTTTTTCAAACGGAATCAGTTCAAAATCAAAGATAACACATGAAAATTAAGTACAAATAATGAAAGTAGGAATAAAATATAATTATAACGTTATAACCACTGCATTATGTTTTCTGAAGAAATAACATGGATAGTTTGGAATGCATTTTACCTGTGTACTTGTAACGTAGAAAAGATTAAAAATATCATCCCCCCCAAAAAAAAAGGAAAAGAGACCAAACAATTTACAACATTGTGCCGGCAGCTGTTAAAATGTGCAAAGCCCAGAAAGCAAAATTTTACAGGAGTAAGAGAAAACTATTTCATTCTTTTACCAACTGCCCCAACAATATGTACTTTTTTCTTGCTTTTTTTTCAATACTTTGAAATATGATAAAAATGATTCTTGAGCACATGTCTACAACAACACAAGTTAAGAAAATGCAATTTTTAAAAATATATCTTTTTTGGCTGAGTGCATTTTAACAGCTACCCCGAATAAGACCACACAGGAATGTTGTTGAGTCCTTGAACTTCTGACATGAGCTAGGTTTTGAGGTAATCATTCGATACTTATGAGAATTAGTACCTCATCAAGAATCTTCAATATAGAATGATTATAAATTATATTTCTGCTTAAAAATCCATACCGTCTTATTAAGTCACTATGGTGGTTATCACATCAAAAGCAAAAGACATTTCAGATGCTTTACAAGTCAACTATTTAGGACAAGATATTCTCATCTCTGAAAACTGAATTTGATAACAGTAGGAATAACAGAAGAAACAGAAATATGGCTTCTTAGGAGACTTTTGATAATTGCAAGGAGGACAGAAAAAAAATCAAATGAGGAAGCACTGAAAGAAACCTATGTCGGCTGCTCACAAGGAAGAACAATATTAGGAAGTGACAAATGCAGTGTCTGGGACACTTGAATTGATATAAAGGCTTGGAGCATCTCGCTCTTCCTAGAAAAATAGAAGGCAAAGAGGCAGGGTTAGACCAAAAGAAACTTATTTGGAAACCCAGAACAGATGGGTGACAGGGAAAAAACCCAGGATAATATGAGATTTTTTAGTGTATCCGAGTGGAGAAATCAATGGAGAACCATGACTGCCCATGTTTTGTTTTAAATCTGGCGTTTGAATTTATCTTTAAAAAAAAGTAATCTGGTATTTGATGACAATGAGGAATAACAATGGCATCCAAATTATCATTGACAACAAAAGCCATGACCATCACTATAAAAGTGTGTGTGTCTGCATATGTGTGTGTGTGTGTGTGTGTGTATGTGCGGTAAAACACCAACAATGAGCTGGCATCTGGACAATAAAGATTTATCTCATCTTATCTTCTAACACACACACGTATCTTACCACGTATGGGAGGTTTGTGTGCCTGTATAAGACAAATTCACCCTCATAAAAATTGTCATAAGTGCGTCCATCAAAGGTCGTAATGTGGGGGTCATTGACGGAACTGCACGTGCTCAGTTTGTCTTCGTCTCTGACGGTCAGCTGAAGAGAAAAGTAGTTTTGTTATACATTTTAATTCGTTTTGGGTCTAATTTGCATATATATATATCTTGAAACTTCTGGAAAAGTATGGAAACATTTCCCTCGACTCACAATGTGGGGTTTGCATGATATGGACAGTTGAATACTTTATACCAGTTAGAGGATATGAGCATAGCAAACTTCCATTTCTATCAATACTTTTCAACAATTTGCTAATTTACATACAATATCAGTCACAATGCAGACGAAATTTGTTCATTGCCAGGATAAACATTTTTTAAAGTCACTGTAAATGTTGTACAGCAGGTCTTGTACAATTGTCTCCAAAAGTTGATGAAATGTTTTTTGTTTTTTTACGTAGCTGCACTGTAAGTATTTGAGTAAGGTGTTGTGTGTGTGTATGTATGTGTGAGTGTGTGTGTGTGTGTGTGCGTGTGTGTGTGTGTGTGTGTGTGTGTGTTTGTGGGTGTGTGTGTGCATTTGTGCATGCGTGCATGTGTGTGTGTGTGCATGTGCATGTGTGTGCGTGAGTGTGTGTGTTGTGTGTGGTGTGAATAAGTGCTTATGAATTTAGCTACCTTTTACATTGCATGCAATGAATTCATTATATCCTTTATGTTACATTAAAGCAATTAACTCTTTTCCATTTCACACACTAGCTCTAAAAACGCAGCTACGGAAATAAGTTTCAAGGGTACCTAGCCTGGTAAAGCAGAAAACAAAATTACATAAATAATTCTCCAGTCAGCAAAACAACAATATGAGACAGACCTGAACGAAGCCAACTTCAACGGTCAAGTCAAAATCGATGAGGGTGGAGTTGATTGAAGCAGAGATCTCCACTGTCCTTCTCTGGTCCCCATCTTTGACTGTGTCCACAACACCGCGCACGATCAGAGCATAAGGCTGCTGCCATAGGGCTGAGTCCACATTCCTTCCACAGAAGGCGTTACTCTGATCCTCCTCTTGCCACAACAAGACAGCCTGAAAACAGCAAAAATATTAACATACAAGCATATTTGTCAACAAGATTTTAGGCTTTCGGGCTCACAACTGAAATGTGGGTTTAAACCCCCTTAAGGGCTGGATGCTGTGTCCTCTAGGAAATGCACTTTTCACGAATTCTCCACACTTCACCCAGATATAGACAGACAAAGATTTTGTAATAATAATAATAATAATGAAGATCATTTCTATAGCGCCCACTCCCGTGTAAACACAGCTCTAGGCGCTTTACATAAATGCATGTACGAACAATATTCATGCACGCACACACACACACTCATACACACACACACAAACACACACACACATTACAGCACATATGTGCCCACACATGTACGCCAAACAAACACACACACACACACACATACACACATTACAGCACATATGTGCCCACACATGTACGCCAAACACACACACACACACACACACACACAAACGCACAAACACACACCTACTCGCTTATCACACGCGCACGCTTACACATTGTCATGAAATGAGCACATATATAGTAAAATAATATACACAATGCAATTGACAAAATACATAAATGGATACATAGTCATTTACATAACATTGTACTGAACATGAATCTACTGACAGAAAAATGATGTAATTAAATGTGTCTTTAAAGATTTTTAAAATTTAGACTCAGATGTTGTGTGTCTCAAGGGTTGGGGAAGAGAGTTCCAGACTGATGGAGCAAGGTGGGCAAACGATCTTTCATCTAATTTTTTACCCCCTTTTCTAGGAACTCTTAAAAGATACTGATCGCCTGATCTTAGCAATCTAGATGGAACATAAATCCGGATGAGATCACTAAGATATGAGGGAGCTTTGTTATTGACACATTTATGACATAATATTGCAATTTTATATGACATTCTAGCTGACACGGGAAGCCAATGCAACATTCTTAACAGGGGAGTTAATTAGTATTTGAGTGCGCAAATCGCTGCTCGCACTGAATGCTTCCTGAGAAGCTGAAAAAGTTTCAGAGTGTTCTGGGGACTGCTGAGGTAATAATAGTTGTAAAGTGCAGAGAACAACAGAGGGAAAGTAAAGAAGTAGGACCTACCAGAGGTGCCCTAGCACTCACTCAACAAGGGATAAAACTAAACTCACCTGAGGTATGTCCCTTTGATCTGGACAGAACTTTTCCCGCCCTGCACGGATTACTGCATTCAGTTGAATCTCACAGGAATTTCTGCTGCCTATAGGGCAGAACAGCATTGGAGGAACTTGGCTTTTTACTAAGATAGTCCCAGAACCACCTTCTGTTATTGTCAGCTGAGTTGTAGTTAGCTGCAAACGAAATATTAAAATTAAAAATATGACCCCAAAAGGACATAAAGACTTAGATATTGCTCCATAGATCTAGAAATGACATGTTGCGATGACCTACTGCTATTTCATTCAATCTCTTCAATAGCACCATACAGCAGGAGTTTAAACTTTGTGCTTCATCCGGTCTTCTTCTTATGATCCATAAAGCTTATTATTATATAACCTATGCCAGGTACATCTTGCACTAAAAAAATAAGTACAAGCCCTGTTCACAACACCCCACCCTCCTACCCTCCCTCAAATAGAAAGTAATTGTGAGGCAACGTGGTGAAATCAGGTGCTCGTGGAAATTTTATCGAATTTTTGTTTTTTTGCTAAACACCTTTCATGCCCATTAAAGAACACATTTCTGTGTGAATTTTACTGACAAACGTTGATTAAAGGCATAAAATATATAACTTTTCAGTTTCTACGGACACGCACACTAAGGAAATAACTCAAGTTTGGCTGCCATTTTCTCTCTAATTTTACCTCTGAAACCAGGTGGCCCCAATCTTCTTGAATCACCAATATCTTGACTTGTATCCAAGATAAATGGACATTTAAAAAAAAACAAACCCAAAGCAATTGGACAGGATTTAAGATGATACCAATAACTCCAGATCCCCCAAAATTGACGAGCGTCTGATAGCACAGCGGCGTGACACAATTGAATTACTGTAGTAAAGAAAACTGAAATCTGAAACCTTTAAACTGAGATTTCTACATGTTTTCAACACTTTACATTTTATGGATTACTTGAGTCCCCTGCATCTATTCAGCATCAATTCTAGCAAAATTCTGGTAAAACTTGTTTCAAAGGAAAATTCTTGTACAAAACTGTTTAAAACTATAATCAGTTAAAAGAAAAACAAACATTAAAAAAACTTACAAATGTAATCACGACAGCAAAAAATCTTACCTCCAATGCCACTGAAACTAGTTCACTGTGTTTGAATTCTCCCTGAGTTAAGGGACACGATTGTGCTGTGCACACTGCTACAGCACAAGACAGCTGAAAAAAGAAAAATAAGTTACATTGATTTCATCCATGAAACAGGAACGTGTTTTGATCCATATTAAATACAAAGTACATGCTACAGTCTTTACTGAAGAAAAAAAGGAGAAGATTTTGGAACTTGATGCTGAACACTCACCAAATAGTACAAACTGCAGGCTTGATAGGACCACAAATCCTCTTCATTAGTTCCCAAAACTTTCCCCCTTTTCCCGAGAGACAGCTCTGTTGATACATTTTCAAATCCAAATTCTCTACACACAACACTACAACCCACATTAATTTCACAATAAGTCAAGCGTTTTCAAAAGGAATTCTTTGAATGTTTTGATAACGACTGAAACATCTTACGATTTTGATAGAGACGATAGAACAGTTGGTTTCTAACCTAATGGTCTCAGTAACTCAAAACGGCCGGAAATGTCACAGGGAATTTTGTAATTCTGAGGTTGCGATTTATCAGCACTCATTGTTCATGCTTTATTCAACTAATCAGGTAAATATCAAAGTAAAGTACAACAAATAAATAACAAATGGAAAGCATCTCATTCAAGATCTCTACCCAAATGAGGACTTTATGAGACCCAATTTGATTCAGTCATTTTCATGCTTGCAACTCAAATGTGTTTACCTTTGAGTTATATTCCAGGTCACCATACTCTGCTTCTGATATAACTGAAAACACACTGCCATTGGAGAAGCGTTCAATTCCTTGGGGTACTGTTTTGTCATCTTTCATAAAAATGGTCGAGTACAATAGGTCATCACCATTCAATGGTTCAAACTGGCAAGTGAAAGACACATTGCCAGTTTCTGACACCTGGATTTGCAGTTTTGGCTTTTCCTTCAGTGCCGGGTACCCTGCAAAAGCGTGAATAAGTGTAATCAGCTCATAACTTCAGGAACAGCTCTGTTGTAAGGAGGGGGGCAAAGGACAGTAAAGTTGTAAGAAAAAATTAACTGATTGAAAAAAAATTACAGTGAACCTTAAGCAAAAAAACCTCAACAAAACACCTAAAGAAAGAGAAGGAAAAGTTAGCTATTTCTTTTTTTCTTTTCTTTTTGGAACACCCCCCCCCCAAAAAAAAAACAACAACCCACAACAGGCCCAACCGATTTTGAAATACATGTCTGTCTGTCCCTTTGTAGACAGTAGCAATTCTCAAAGGTAACTCTCAGATATTTATAAAATCTAAACTAGGCTCTTCATAAGGAATTATTTTGAAGAGTGAACAAGGAGAACGTGTAGACAAGCTAGCTCTTTATTGACACTCAATTATAAAAGTGCATTTAGTTTGCTGAGTTTTGTACTTTTATCCATTAAAACTAGGTGAGTTATTTCACCAATTTAAAAATTGATGGACATTTTTTATGCCTCCATAGATACAATTTAGATTTTTTATGAAGTCGATAGCTTTGCCCTACCTCAAAAGAGCTGCATAGAGCATCATAGCAAACAAAAAGAGAGAGCAAAAGAGACAGAGAGAGAGAGAGAGAGAGAGAGAGAGAGAGAGAGAGAGAGAGAGAGAGA